TTCGCAGGGGCGCCCAGTCTGCCGCGCGCGATGCTGGCCCTCAGCTTCGCGGCCACGCTGGCCGGAGGAGCTCGGGGGAGGCTGGTCTCGCTGTGCGACGTGTCGGTCGCCTTCTACCACGCGCTGCTCGATGGGGACGTCTGGGTGGGCCCGCCCAAGTCTGAGGGGGTGGGTCCTCAGCGCGCGCGGCAGCTTCGAAAGGCACTCTACGGCGCGAGGGGAGCAGCGCTGAGGCCCCAGGAGTACGTCATCGACGCGCTCGCAAGGTCGGGCTCCAAGAGGGTCGCATTGGCAGCGCAGGCGTTCCAATGCGCGCGCCGGGCGATCTTGGTCGCAGCTCACGGCGAAGACTTTTGCGCAGGAGGCGAGCGGGAGGAGTTAGACTGGCTCGACGGGGTTCTTGAGCAGTACTTCGATCAAGCGCGGGCTTCGAGTCGGCCCACCAGCAGTTGGAGGGACCGACCACGGCTCATTCATCAAGCGCGCGATCATCTGGGCCGACGACGGCTTCCACCGGCTCGCCGACGCGGCGCGCATCGAGACGGTCATCGCGCACAATGAGAGGGCCGAAAGGGACGTGCCCAGCCGACGCCTCAGCCCGGGGGGCAAGCGCGTGGGCAAGAGGCGGAAGGACGTTGCAGACCTGCTTGGCGACCACGAGCGGAGCGAGTACAGGGGCCTCGCCCCGCTGGCACACTACGCGGCTGCCGATCGCCCAGACATCCAGTGCGCCACGGGGGTGCTGATGAGGACGCTGGAGGAGCCGACGGTTCTGCCCTGGCTGCAGCTGGAACGCCTGGGGAGTTACCTCAAGACGTGCAAGGAGTTGCAGTGGGACTTTGTGTGCCAGGAGACCCCGCGGAAGCTGCGCGTCGAGTTGGACTCCGACTGGGCGCGGCGCCCGAGGACCGCGAGGCCATTTGTGATGGGCTCGCGTTCTGGGGCAGGCATCTGTTGGACAGCTACAGCGAACAGCGCCAGAACATCGCCCTTTCGCCGGGCGAGGCAGAGCTGCGCGAGTCGGTTAAAAGGGTTGCGCACGGGCTGTTTCCCAAGCGCGTGCTGGAGGGGATTGGCGTGCTGAGCCTCGTGGTACAGGTCGGCAGTGACTCGGCGGCGGCGCTGGGCATCTCCCACCGCCTTGGCGCGGGCCGAGCGAGGCACCTGGAGGCCATGTAGCTCTGGGTCCAGGACAAGACGAGGTCTGGAGAGGTCCAACAGATCAAGATCAAGACAGCGGCAAACAGGGAAGACCTGCTCTCCAAGTTCCTTAACCCGAGCGGCATTGGGCGCTGGTCAGCGCCCTACCGCTGAGCGCGCCTTCGGCAAGGCGCGGTGCGAGCGCGCTGGCGGCAGCGACGGCGCTGATGCTCCTGCCCGAGACGGCGGAAGCGTTGGACGAGGAGGAGGCCGAGAACATGGAGATCAACCCAATGTTGGCGGCGCTCATCCCCATCGCCCTCAGCCGGCTCATCTCGAGGCTTCGGGGCAAGAAGGTAGTTGAGAAGATGGGCCAGGGCGTCCAGACGGACGCGGTGGTCCAGGACTCTACAGCGCCAGGCTCGATCAGCATCGGGTCGGCAACCAGTACTACAAGGCGCAGGGAGCGCATCTTCGCGGCGCTGAGGTTCGGTGAAAACTGCAACTCCGCTTGCGCCTGCGGCGGGCTGTCGAGCGCGAGGGAGGTGAAGGAGTTCGAGAGATGCACGATGTGCGGCTGAGTGAGTGAGTCCGCATGTCGCCTATGCATGTTGCCAACTCGGTGCAGTTAGTCCCCAGGGCGGACGGAGTTCCGACCCGAAGGGGCCGATGGTTTGCCCTTTCGAGGCTCCAGCGAGGCTAGCTCGAGCGGGTTGCTGCAGTGAGGTAGGAGCACGGGTGAGGATCATAGCGCTGAAAATGTTCTGATCGAGGTTGTGCGCGCAGCAAGGAGGCCCACTGGCGGAGTTGGCCACCCGCTGAGGCCCGAAAAGACCGTAGCGAGGAGGCGCGCGAGTCTCCAGCCCCCGATGCCAGAAAAAGATCGGGATGTATATGGCACAATCTACGTGTTGCATCCGACGCTGTATCTGCTCAGGCGCGCCTTGCCAGCCGAGGAGAAAGGCGGAGCTCTTGGGACTCAGAGTTGGGCTCTTTGGGCTCCTGGGGGACCCCAGCGGCCGAAATGGGTTCCACGCGCGTCCGCCCTCAATCCGCGAAGCTTTACCAGTGTTTGAAACGAATGTGCGCGGCGTTAGGGCGAGAGCCACATTTTGAAAACCACCCGCACAGAATCCGTGAAATTCTTGCAAATGTTTAAAGCGAGTGTGCGCGGCGTTAGGGCGAGAGCCACAGTTTGAAAGCCACCCGCCCTCAATCCGTGAAGCCGTTGCCATTGTTTAAGCTTCAGGGTCATAAGTGGTAATCAGGTCTCAGGCGAAACGCCCGGCCCGCCCTAAAAACTGGCCTCGGGGTGTGACAGGGAGAAGTTCTGTATAAGGAAAAGGAATGGAGTCGGAGGAGGAGGGGAGGAGGAGGAGGAGGAGGAGGGGAGGAGGAGGGGAGGACGAGGAGGAGGAGGAGGAGGAGGAAGAGGGAGGACGAGGAGGAGGAGGAGGAGGAGGAGGAGGAGGAGGAGGAGGAGGAGGGGGAGGGGCAGGGAGGAGGTCGACTACACTCAACAGTGACCCTTCGTTCGAGTGACCTTTGATGCTGGCCGAAACGGGTTCGGATGATTTGTTCTGTAAGAATGAGCTCGACTTCGCGTCGTCACCCACATCGCTCGATTGCGCTCGCATCTGAGCGCGTCAGGTTTCGGCCCCACCAGTTGCAATCGACATCAACGCATACCCGTCGCACGCTACTGTGCGCATTGGTTTCCCGAGGGGGGGCTGGTCGACCGGACGGCGCGATTTCCGGCCCAAGACTAGTCGCGAATCCCAGCCCAAGTACCAAATCGCCCGGCTCTGATATATTCGGATATGTTTGAGTATCGTTCAACTTGCTTGAATTTGTTTGAAGAATTGTTTGAATCAATGGGGGTCTTTACTAGTGCAACGTACCCAAATATATTCAAACATACTCCAGGCCCGCAGATGGGGCCAGCTTTGGCCATGACGTTGGACCTGGTCAGACATCATCGCGGTGCGGCCCGACAGTGCCAGACCTCGTCGTGGTTGCCCCCGGCAGCGTCTGCTTTCGCAGCGCCTTCGAAATGCCATTTGGGGCGTTCGAATCCAATTGGCGGAATTCCGCTGTCGCCCGCCAGCTCAACAAATCTTTCTGGTGGCGCCCCGCCGTTGATGCGGCGCGGCCGTTCTGGCTTGCGCAATTGCGTTGGGCCCCTACGGGCGCCCCTGAAACCGCACACCCAAGGTCACTCTAGCCCAGGGTCACCCCTACTTGTAATCGAGGAAGGAGGAGGATGAGGAGGAGGGAGGAGGGTGGAGGGTGGAGGAGGAGGGGGGAGGAGCGAGGAGGGAGAAGGAGGGAGGAGGAGAAGGAAGGAGGATGAGTGAGGAACGAGGAGCGAGGAGGACGGAGGAGGGGAGGAGGAGGAGGGAGAGGAGGAGGAGGAGAGGAGGAGGAGGAGGAGGAGGAGGAGGAGGAGGGAGAGGAGCAGACGAAGGACGCAGAGGAGAGGAAGGAGGAGGGGGGAGGGAGGAGGAGGGAGGAGGGTGGAGGAGGAGGGGGGAGGAGTGAGGAGGGAGGAGGGGGGAGGAGGAGGGGGGAGGGAGGAGTGAGAAGGGAGGAGGGCGGAGGGAGGAGGCGGAGGAGGAGGAGGAGGAGGAGGCAGGAGGAGGAGGAGGGGGCGGGGGAGAAGAGGAGGAGGAGGAGGAGGAGGCGGTGAAGGAGGAGGAGGAGGAGGCGGTGGAGGAGGAGGAGAAGGAGGAGGAGGAGGAGGAGGAGGAGGAGCGAGTAAGGAGGAGGAGGAGGCGGAGGAGGAAGAGGAGGAGGAGGAGGATGAGAACAGGAGGAGGCGGAGGAGGAGGAGCAGGAGGAGGAGGAGGAGGAGGAGGGCGGCGCTGCCCGCGGCGCCGAGGCCCGACACGGGGGATCCGGAGGGGCTGATCGCGGCCGCGAAGCGGTACATCGCGGGTGTTGCTGGGAGGCCCTGATCCGCGGCGAGCGAGGGAGAGAAATGAGACGGGGACACGTTTTCTGGATACGAGCCTGCCAGCAGCAGGACGGGCGTATAGAGGTGGAGGGGAACACGTTTGGTGGAACACGAGGGCCGAGCGTTCAGAAGCAGGCGCTTCCGTCTGATCAGTGCCATCGCCACTATTATGCTTAAATGTCGGCGGCGAGCGAAAGGGGAAAATGAGAAGGAAAAGGCCTTTTCAGAAGGCGACGGGACTTCTCAGAAGCCCTTGCGCCTTCTGAGAAGTTTTGTTGCGTCTGCGGGGGATTCTCGGAAGACTTTTCAGAAGGCCAGGGGACTTCCGAGCCTTCTGAGAAGGCCCGCCCCTTCTCACTTCCCCCCTGGCGCGCCGCCAATTTGAAATCCTGTCGTCGGATTTTCCTCGCACCGGGCGGTTGGTTGGTTGCCTCGGTTCGGGCCCCGAGGCAAGCGCAGATCCATCTGGCTCGAAACATGAATTTTCACTACGTTTCAATGCGCAACGTTGCGAGTTGCAATGTGTGCAACGATCTTGCAGCTTTTCGCGATGGTGCCATGTTTCCGCAGCGTCAGATCTCAGTGGAGGTCCTGGCCAAAGGTGCTCCCAGCTTTTCGCGCCGCTTTCGGGCCATCTGTCGCTGGAAGACCGGGTCACCTTGGTCCAGGACCACACTCTTAGCAACACCCGAACATCGGCTTGGGGAACAAGGTCATCCAGCAGTTGGGGCCGACGACCGCGGAGGACCTGAACCGAGAGCTCGCGAGCGATTTCGAGTTTGTTGCACCTTATGTCGGACCCCTGAGCAAGGCTGCCATCGTGGCTGCCACCACTGGGCTGGATCTCGGAGAGGGGTTGCCCGACTTCAATGCCCGATATCATGCGTTTCGCCTGGACAAGGAGATGCCGCGCAGGGTATGGTGCCAAATGAGAGTGTGTGGCACTCACACTGGCAATCTAAATTTTGCCGGCACTTGCGCCTCACCACGGAGCCCGCCAGTTCGCGTCGAAAGCCCGCCCGAAGCAGTATCGTTCACGTTTAACGAGGCAGGCCAGGTCCGCGAAATCACGACCGGATATCCGGTGGACCGTCGTTGTGGAACGACTGGTGGATTGGGCGGAATCTTCGGCATATTGGAGGGTCTTGGCTACCCACTGCCAGCGCCGCTTACACGCACCTGTGCTGAACTTCTTTCACCTGTCTTCGACATATTCGGGCTCAGAGAGGAGCTGCAGGACGCTGCAGTCATGAAGTTCACAGAGGTTCCCGCGGCAGATGCGCTCGATGAAGAGCGCCTCCTAACACTCACTGAACAGTTGATCGAGTCACGCTTGGGGCTGGACGATGCGTCGCTGCTGCGCGAAGACTTTACCCTGACCACCCCTCACGGAGGGGCGCTACGGAAGGAGGATTACTTGAGGACGGCCTCGTTGGGAGACATCACGGATGCGTTCCCGGACCTGGACTACAAGTGGCGGGACTTGCGCGTGTGCCCGTTCGACGTCAACCGCGTCTGGTACACCTCGTCGCCCCTCGGCACGCACCTGGCCGAGCTCCGCCTGCCGACCGGGGAGGTCCTCCCGGCCACCGGGCGCCGGTGGGTCAGCCCTCCCGTGTGCGGCAGCGCCCAGTTCGACAAGGACGGCCGCTGCATCGCCAGCACCGGCAGGGCCCCGGGGCTGCGCGCGGGCAGTCCCCAGCGGCCATCGGACGTGCGCAGGTTGAAGGGCTTGTTTTCCACCACCACCGCCACCATAAGTTGGAGGGGGTCCTCCTCCTCCTCCACTTCCTCCTCGTCCTTCTCCTCCTCCTCCTCCTCCTCCTCCTCCTCCTCCTCCTCCTCCTCCTCCTCCTCCTCCTCCTCCTCCTCCTCCTCTGGGCACTTGTTCGCTCGATGACTTCCCCCAGAAGGGGGCGAGGAGCGCGGCGCTCCCCCTCCCCGCGGCCCGCGCCCCTGCGCGACCCGTGGGGCCCTGCCGCCCTCACCGCGAGCTACGTCATGGACCGGCGCCTGGGCAACACCCGCGGCCTCGGCGGCGTCCTCGGGCTGAGGCGGGCGGCCACGGAAGGGTGCGGCTCGGGTCGCCTACGCGTAAGTCGGGCCTGTCCCTCACCACCCACCAAACCACCCCAACCCAACCCGAAGGCTCAAATTTACCCTCGATTTCCAGTGGGGGGGGGTCGGGAAACATAGAAAAAAACACATGTGGAACCCTTACACCCCCAATCCGAAATTCGGGTCTTCGGGTTGGGTTGGGGTGAGCTGGTGGGTAGTCAGTCCCCCTACAGGAGGGCTTCGGGCGAGAAATCAGAAAATGGTAAAACAAAATGCGCCCAAATGGCCAAAAAACATACGTTCAAATCATCCCCGGACTAATGTTTGACTATGTTCGAATCTCCCTCCTGTAGAGGGACAGGCCCGACTTACGCTTGCGCGCAGCCCTGGGGTCTTGGCGTTGCGTGTTTTGGGGCCCTGGGATCCTATGCGCAGCCCTGGGATCCGGGCGTTGCATTTTTGGGAGATTCTGCGCGCAGCCCTGGGATCCTGGCGGTTCCGGCCGTCTACGCTAGGGGAACAAACAATGACATAGACATAGAAATTCGGAGGTCCGCGCGGATTGCTCGGATCGGCGCTGGGCCCTCCTGGCGGCGCCTCCGGCGCCGCCTTTGGCGCAGCGCCGAGCCGAGCAATCCGCGTAGCCCTATACGCGTAGCCCTGGGATCCTGGCGTTGTAATGTTTTGGCCAGCGGGCGTTTTCGCCTGTCTTCGGGCACCGAGACCCTTCAAGATCGACCCGGCTCGAGAAATGGTGCAGAAAGATGGGGTCCAGAGCTCTGGCGGTAATTGTTTGCGATGTTGCAGTTTGTTTGCAACGTCGGATCTCAGTGCAAGAGTGACCCTTTGCCGGAGTGACCTTTCGGTGAAGGCCCACTTGGGACCCCCCGATCGCCGAACGCGAGGCGGCAGTGGCGTCTTGTTCGCAAAACGCCGCGCACCAAAAGTCACTCTTATCCAGGGTCACTCTTGCGCATAGACGATGTGGGGGAAGCGGGTGCTGAGGGAAACGGGGCCTGAGGTTTCTTCTCTTTTGCGGGCTCTCGGCGTCCTCCACGTGGGCCAGGGCTGTGAGAACACGACCCAGGATGAAGATTTCGTCCTGTGGGAATCTAGGCCTCCTACATGGGGTCCGAGTGGATGGGGTCGGAGGGTCGCGCCGCATCGCCGATGCATCGACGATGCGGCTCGATGTGGAGACCCTGCTTCCCCACGCCGACGTCGCCGATGCATCGCCGACGTCGCCGATGCATCGCCGATACGTCGGCGATGCATTGACGATGCGGCGCGATCCTTCGACCCTATCTACTCGGACCCCATCTACAGTCAACCCGCAAAGTAAGGATTGGCACTCTTCCCAAGGGTACCGTTGCATCCTTGCCTCCTCGGTCCATCCTTCGCCGCTTTCGCCGGCCGCGGCCCGCTCGACAAGCTTCGAGAGGGGCGCCTGAGGCCCCTGCATCCCTCTCGCGCATCCTCACCATACTAGTCGACTGTAGGAGGCCTCCGGGGAAGGCCCCAGGGTTCAGGAGGGGAAAAAACACACAGACACAATGAATCGTCGGTTCCCCAGAAAATATGGAAAGTGGGGGGGAAGACAAAAACCCAGAAAATATGGGAAACCATGGGGAATCCTGTGAACTGTGTGTACTTCTTTGTGTGCCCCAGAGCCCCTTCACGGGTCCGGGACCCGCTCCCCTCGGGACCCGCGCCCCCCACGCCGGCGTCCGAGGGGGCGGCCTGCGATCTGCGCCGTGTGGGGGCCCCATGGGGGCGCGGCGCGGCCCTCGGCGGGCCTCTCCTCGGGGCGCGGCGGAGAGCTCCCCAGACCTCCGACGCTCCGATATGTGTGCAGTATGGTTCCTCCGACCCACATCCCCCGATCTCCATCCCTAAGGGGAACGAATAATGACATAAACATAGATAAAGACTCGGAGATGCGCGCGGATTTCTCGGATCTTTCGCCGGAGGCGCCGCCAAGGAGGTCCAGCGAAGATCCGAGAAATCCGCGCGCACCTCCGAGTTTTTATGTTTATGTCATTCTTCGTTCCCCTAATCCCCTTCGAGACCCCCACCAGATTGCCCCCACCAGACGTCCGACGCTCCCAGGTTTCAAGCCGCAATGGGGGAGACGACACACACAGACGCAGTAAAATGGTCGACTCCCAGGAAAAGGTGGGAAAAGGTATGGGAAGTGGGAGAAGGTCGAAAACCCAGAAAGTGTGGGGAATCCTCCATGCTCGACCTACAGCAAGTCCAATCGCCGCAGGTCTGGGTCTGTCGAGAGGTCCTCGCCCGCCATCCCCCAGGGTGCGCGTTGCAAGCCGCTCCCCGTGCGCTTCGGTCGCAAACATCGTGGGAGCCTCGTAGTGTCCTCGGGCTTCCGTCCCGAGGGTGCGCTGCCGTGCGCCGACGACCTGGCAATCGATCCGACCGCGCCGAAATGAGCGTCGAGGAGCGTCGATGCAGCGTCGATGCGGCGTCGACTAGCGCCGATGCAGCGTCTGTCGGCGTCGGCTCGCAGGAGCCAGCAGGAGGGCATCGGGAGTTTCCCGCGAGCTGCCACCGAACGCCGCAAGCCGCGCCTTTTCGGAGCCGCCCACGAGGGAGGCCATCGGCGCCCCGTCCCCGAAGGCGTGGCTGGCCCGCACGCCCTCGCAGCTCTGGAGCGCGGTCTCGGGCAGGGCGTGACGGCGCCGAGGGCGGGGCGGGGCCCCCCCTCCCTGCTCTCCTGCTCTCCTCCTCCTGCCTCCTTCCTCCTCCCTGCTCGGACGAGCGAGCAACGCTTGGAGGGGAACTGGCTGAGGGTTTGGGTGCAGGTTGTCGGGCCCTGAGGGGCCCTCCCGTTCGAGCGGGGACCCCCCATCCGACAACACGCACCCGTAGTTTTCTCGGACCCCCCTCTGGGTATGAGTGTGTTGTTCGTTCGTCGCATTCCCGCCGGCAGCGAGGCGCGTATTGGCCAGAGGCGCCCCAACAGGGGGGAGGCGGCATCTTTTCGCGGGCTTCTGAACGCAGCCGCTCGGCGGCGCACATCGGCTGCGAAATCCGAACCCTGCCCTCGCCGGCCCCTGATTCAGGCAACTCGATGGGTGGCGGGGGGTAAGTTTCGGAATTCGTCGAGCACGTTGCGAAGTCCGAATCCTGCCTCCGCCTCCCAGCGACTGGGTGGGGAGAACCAGTGCTTAGTGGAGATCAGGTCTGGCTGTCGCCACCGGGCACCGCGGGAGCAGGGGTCAGGGCGGCGGCCCTCTGGAGAGGCCCCCGCGTCTCTCGGTGGGTTTGGGACGGGGAGGAGAAGGAGGAGGAGGGAGGAGGAGGGAGGAGTAGGGAGGAGGAGGAGGATGAGGGAGGAGGAGGGAGGAGGGAGGAGGGAGGAGGGGAGGGAGGAGGAGAGGAGGAGGGAGGGAGGGAGGGAGGAGGGAGGAGGAGGAGGGAGGGAGGAGGGAGGGAGGAGGGAGGAGGGAGGAGGGAGGAGGGGGGAGGGAGAGGAGGGGAGGAGGAGGAGGGGAGGAGGAGGAGGAGGGGAGGGAGGTGGAGGTGGAGGAGGAGGAGGAAGAGGAGGAGGAGGAGGAGGAAGAGGAGGAGGAGGAGGGGGGTCGCGTGGTCTCTCTGGGGGGGAGCGGTCCCTCCATGGAGGCCCTCTGGCGTCTCAGAGGGCCGCCCCTCAAGCAGTGGCGGAGCGCCCTGGCTCGCCTATACGCCTGCCAAAGGATGTTCATTTCTCAGTATTTGAAAGTTATTTGATGTTTTTTTGGGGCCACGATCCGTTCGTTTCTAATTGGTCTATCCTGGGCCTCTTCCTGGCCACTAGGGGGCCAGGCACACATAGAAACGATCGCAATTATAAATATGCACGATTAGAAATGAACGACGTGTACCAAAGGATGTTCTAAGAACCCTCTGTGGTTTCAACGAAATGTTCTTAGATAATGTCTTGGTGGGACTGTCTTGTTGTAGTACATCGGGTTTATGTTAAAAGAACATTGGTTTTGTTTTTAGAGCACGTCTGGGATCTAAGAACATGTCGTGGTAGGCCTACAGAAATGCTGGGACGGTTGGTCCCTGCTCAGTCAGAGGGCCGCCCCCTTTCCCCCCCCCGCGCCATGGTTCCGTCTGCGCGCCGCCGCGTCGCGCTGGGTCAGTCTCCGCCTTTTTCAGCTTGCGCAGTGGAAGCGCAGTGTGAAGTCTGGCCTGTTCCTCTACAGGAAGAATGTGCAAAAACAGTAAAGAAATAGTACGGGGACGTTTTTTGTTCTAATATGTTTGGTCATTGTTGAGCATTGTTTGACATGCTTGTCAATTCCTTCTTCCCACATCCGCGTGTAGGAAGACATGCCCGACCTAAGCATACTGGCGATGGCACTGATCAGCTGGAAGCGCCTGCTCCTGAACCCTCGGCCCTCGCTTTCCACCAAGCGTGTTCTCCTCCAACTCTGTATTCCCTTGCTGCTGGCAGGCTCGTATTCAGGGGACGCATCCGAATCTCGGCCCCACGGGGAGAGGAGTAAGAGGACGAGAGGAGGAGGCGGAGGACGAGGAGGAGGGGAGAGGAGGGAGGAGGCGGAGGGAGGAGGAGGAGGAGGAGGAGGAGGAGGAGGAGGAGGGAGGAGGGAGGAGGAGGAGGAGGAGGGAGGAGGGAGGAGGGAGGAGGGAGGAGGAGGAGGAGGAGGAGGAGGCAGGAGGAGGAGGAGGGAGGAGGGAGGAGGGAGGAGGGAGGAAGGAGGAGGAGGAGGAGGAGGAGGAGGAGGAGAGGAGGAGGAGGAGGAGGAGGAGGAGGAGGAGGAGGAGGAGGGAGGGAGGAGGAGGAGGAGGAGGAGGAGGAGGAGGAGGAGGAGGAGGAGGAGGAGGAGGAGGATGGAGGAGGAGGAGGCGGAGGAGAAGGAGGAGGAGGAGGAGGGAGGACGAGGAGGAGGAGGAGGAGGAGGATGGAGCAGGAGGAGGAGGAGGAGGAGGAAGAGGAGATGACGGGGAGGAGAAGGAATGAGAGAAAAAGAGAGCAAGAACGGTCCACTCTATCAAGATCCGCTCTGCGAGCAGCGCGTCGAATGTCAATCGTGGCAAGGCTCTCTCTCTCTCCCTCTCTCTCTCTCTCTCTTTTGGGCTACCATGCAAGACTCCTGTATCTTGGGCCATGCTGGAGTTTCCCCGCGAACCCTCTGGCCGACGGGGCGGCCTGTTGGCGCTTGCCTGGGCCATCGTGGTCCGGGGGAGACAGGGCTCGCGTGAATGCCCCACGCGGTTCCTCCTGAGGATATCCCCGAACACCCTCGTGGACCCCAAAAGGCAGCTCCCCCCCCCCTTTCAGTCGCTCGGTTGACCACCCGGGGGCCTGGGGAGCGGCAGACAGTCCCCGCGCCGGTGCCGCAGGGCTCGACGCGCTCTTCTGGGGCCGTTCGCGGAAGCGGGCGGGGTGCACCTCACCGCGCGAGCCTCGTGCGAATGCGAACAGGTGGGATCGCACAGGGAGGAGGAGGAGGAGGAGGAGGAGGAGGAGGAGGAGGAAAACAAAAGGGAGACGGCCGAAGAAAAGCAGGCTGCATGAACATAGACCTTGGACGGTCGGCGAGGATGTCTTGGATCGGTGCTGTCCCCCCATTGGCGGTGCCTCTGGCGCCGCCCCTGGCGCCGCCTTCGGCGCGCTCCGCGCGCCAGGAAGGGGAGGTCCGGCACCGGTCGAAGAAGTCTGCGCCGATCTCCGAACAGGTGTTTTGTGTCCCGCCAGGTGCACCGCATAGTTCACGCCGCACTGATGTCGCCAGATAGCTGCCATCGCACGGAGTGCTGTACACTACAGCTGTTGCACCACTCTGGTTGCACCACGCATGTCGCACCGCATGCCAGAATACCTCGTGTGGGTCCCGCATTGGCTAAGAGTAGATTGTAGTATGAAGCCGGACGGGAGTCATGTCCGATGCATAAATCCCGCCCGCGTTATGTTTCCACGGGGGAGGGGGACAGGGGTGTTATCAAATTGCCTCGATCGCCCCTAAGCTGCCTCGCCCATCGTCGTCGTCGTCGGCTGGGCGGCCGGTCGTCGTCGGTCGTAGTCGCTCGGTCAGTCGTCGCCAGGGCAATCAAGCGCCCAAAAATTCGAAAGCAGAAACCTGACCCTGTCTGTTCGGGGCTTCGTGGTGGCCGTTTGGGGAGCTCTTGGAGCCTCTTGGTGGCCGTTGTGGGCCTCTTGCTGGCCTTTGGGGGGCCTGCTTGCGGCTTAGGGGGTCGTCATCTGTGGGAGGAGGCTCTGGAAGTTTGTGCTCCTCCTCTTGAGTTCTCCTTGGGACCCTGTTGGACCGTCTCGGGACCTCTTTGGGGCCTTTCGGGGGCCTGCTGGTGGCCTCGGGGTTCATCGTATCGGGGCAGGGAGCTCGGAATCTAAACTCGTGTTCTCCCTCTTGAGCCCCTCTGGGGACTCTGTTGGGCCGTCTTTGGGGCCTCTGGGGTCCCTCTTGGGCCGTCTTGGGGCCCTCTTTGGGGCCCTGGGCCGTCTCCAGGCGAGCTCGGAACCCCTTTCGGCCGTCTTGTAGTGCTGACAAGGCGAGGAGCAGGTGAGAACGCTAAAATCTCGCAAATCTTGACGGCAATGTGTGATTTGTGCATCCTTGGGCCCTCTTGGCCCGTCTTGACTAGCCTCTTGGGCCGTCAAGGTCGATGTCCCGCGGTGTCCTCTGAGGTCGATAGATCGATCGAGTGAGATCGATAGCGAGGTCGATAGTGACCTCACATCGCGGCGCGACATCGTCATCACGCGTCGTCGCCAACTCGAGGGCGCGCCACCAGCATCGTCATCATCACACCCATGGCAGTTGCCAGCATTTGTCTCGTTCCACTCCCCCCAAACTCCTTGTTACCCGAAGGGTGGTCGCATGGATAAGTGTGTACGCGTGTGTTGTTTGTGTGTGTGTGTGTGTGTGTTTGTGTGTGTGCGTGCGTGCGTCTTGTGTGTGTGGTTACGTGCGTGCGTGCGTGCGTGCGTGCGTGCGTGCGTGCGTGCGTGTGTACGTGCGTGCGTGCGTGCGTGCGTGCGTGCGTGCGTGCGTGCGTGTCTGTGTGTGTACGTGTGTGCACGTGTGTGTGTGTGTGTGTGTGTGTGTGTGTGTGTGTGTGTGTGTGTGCGTGCGTGCGTGCGTGTGTGTGTGTGTGTGTGTGTGTGTGTGTGTGTGTGTGTGTGTGCGTGCGTGCGTGCGTGTGTGTGTGTGTGTGTGCGTGTGTGTGTGTGTGTGTGTGTGTGTGTGTGTGTGTGTGTGTGTGTGTGTGTGTGTGTGTGTGTGTGTGTGTGTGTGTTTGTCTGTATCTGTGCGTCTGTGTGTGGTGTGTGTGTGTGTGTGTGTCTGTGTGTGCGCGGGTTTTTGACTGCCCACTTCAGCCCACCCACCTGCTGCGCCGGCTCGGTGCTTGCAGCGGTGCCGCCCCTTCGCATTTGCGGGAAGAGTGTGGGCGGGGAGGGAGGGGGGGCGGAAGTGGCGGCCGGCGAGCCCAGGATACGAGCCTGCCCTACTCGCAGCGCTGCCCGCTCGGCCCGCGCTGCCCGTACGCGCACGGCGCCAAGGACGGGCCTCGGCCCGGGCGGCTGTGCGCGGCCACCGCTGGAGGCACGAAGCCCTGACGTCTGGGCGTCGCGGCACATCCTGGAATCGATTGGGGCGGTGAGAGCCTGTTTTTCTTCAGATTCGGGCGAGTTTACTTGCATGGCGTTCGCCCACCCCCCCCCCTCCCCCTTGCCCCTCTTCAGACGAACGCTGGCGTGCAAGTATTTTTCGACCTGCGTGGTTTCCGCACGTGCAAGTCGTTTGCGGCTTACTTCAGGCTTAAGCCCCCCCCGTCCATGAAAGTAAACTTGCCGAAGTCCAAAGAACAACAGACTCTGAAGTGGCCCAGCACTGATTCGGGCCAGCAGGATCCAGGGAAACCGGAAACCCCGCCGTCGCCCTGGCCGGGCGCGGCTCGAAAATTGTCGAGTGTCGACCCGGGGTCCGGGGTCCGGGGTCCAGGGACGGATTTTAAGCGGATTTCCCTTCGCCCCAAGCGCATTTTGAGCGGATTATGAGCGGATTTTGAGCGGATTTGAGCGGATTTTGAGCGGATTTTGAGCGGATTTTGAGCGGATTTTGAGCGGATTTTGAGCGGATTTCGAGCGGATTTTGAGCGGATTTTGACCGAGCTTCTCAGGGCCCATCCAGCGCAGACCCCCTGTCGGCCCCAAGACGATTCCACGACTGGCGCTTCCGCACCGCTGCGGGCCCGAGGGCGCTCGTGGGTCGATGCGGGTACGGCCCGGTTGGTCCAGCGCCGGCGAGGGGTCTGGAGCTCCGGTCGTGAGCTGTTCGGTGCGCATCGTGTCTCTTGTCCCAGGGCGTCTGGCGTCGAGAGGTCGCTTCCTCACCGCCCACCAAACCACCCCAACCCAACCCGAAGGCCCCAATTTGTCCTCCATTTCCAGTTGGGGGGGGTCGGGGAACGTTGAGAAAACACACATGAAACCCGTACCCCCCCCAACCCGAAATTCGGGTCTTCGGGTTGGGTTGGGGTGGTTTGGTAGGTAGTCACTTCCCCAGCAGGTCCCCCGCAGGGGTGGTTCAGATCTGGACACAGAGAAAGGCACGTCTCAGGGCGTCGACGCTGCCGCCCCCGGGTTTCACCCCCGCGCCTGCAGTGTTGTTCCGCCGTCTCTGGTCGTTCGCGAGAGTTGCAGCTGCATCTTTGGTAATATTCTCTGGCCGCCGCCAGAGCATACCCAGATCCGCCGCGCCAGAGTCGACCCCGAAACCTCGTGGCGTGTTGATCTGGACATGTGCTGGACCACGATGGCCGGAAAGCATCCAGGGACGTGGGGCAGGGCTTCTGAAGTCACAGTCGCATTGTGAACAATTTCTTGACGGTGCAGCCGACAAAAGTGGATACTATGAGATCTCATTATCAAGCTTGGAATGGAGCACGCGATTCTGTTGATTTTGAATCGAGATTGGAATTGAGTGGAGCTTAGAATCGAGCTCGAACCAACCCAAGATGCACGACCTCGACATCGTTCGGTGTGACGCGTTCGGTTTCGAACGTGGCACGTGCAGTTCCATGGCTCGGACTACGAAGCCACTGCCAGATAAGGCAGCCTCGTTGCTGATGCCAGCTCCCAAAAATACGAAGGCCCATGCCCTGAGCGCGGGCGCGAGGCTCGACGAAGCGCAGCTGCTCGGTGCTTTCGAAGTCGAGGTCGTGAGCGAGAGCACGGTCCCTTCATGCTCCCGCGCCCCCCCCAGGCCTCCCTGCGCCCTCCCTCGCACCGCTCGGTCAAGCGCCAGAGATGTAAGGCCAGCGCCTTCTAAGAATCAGCCTCCTTCCAAGAAGCCTTCCCCCCTCTGCACGTGACCGAGCGGTGCGCCAGCCTTAAACTTATAGCCTAGGGTGCAATTCTTGGGAGGTTTCATTATGTAAGTATCGGCGCTGATCCGGCCTAATCTGGCTGAATCCCGCAATCCGGCTCAGTCTTGCTGAATCCCGGACTTAATCCGGCCTGATCCGACGAAGTGGCACCTTCGTCGGGCTTATCGACCTCGATCGTTCCACCGTCCACCGAAGACCTCCCAGGAGTCGCCGCCCATCTACAGGTGCAAGGCTGGCGCCTCCTGAGAGGGAGCGTGCCCCCCCTCTGCGCGCCGCCAAGCCGTTGCACCCGTGGGTGCCCGTGCTCCCGCCCGAGCTCACCACCCACCAAACCACCCCAACCCAACCCGAAGACCCAAATTTACCCTCGATTTCCAGTGGGGGGGGGGGTCGGGAAACGTTGAAAAAACACGTGTGGAACCCTTACCCCCCCCAACCCGAAATTCGGGTCTTCGGGTTGGGTTGGGGTGGTCTGGTAGGTAGTCACGAGCCCCGTGGCCAGGAGCAGCTGTACCACCCGGGCTACTTCCGCACCCTCGTGTGCAGGGACCTGCAGCGCAGGAGGCGCCCCTGGCGCCCCCACGGCCCCGAATTCGGGAGCGGGGCGGTGCGAGGGTCGGGGCGGGGAGGGCATAGGGAGGGCGGCGAGGGGGGCCAGGGAGGACGAGGAGGGAGGGAGGAGGAGGGAAGAAGGTGCGGTGGAGTGGGAAGAGGAGGAGGAGGCGGAGGAGGAGGAGGAGACAGGGGGGGACGATGGGAGGGGGGAGGAGGGATGGAGGGAGGTTGGAGGAGGGAGGGAGGGATGGAGGGAGGGAGGGAGCGAGGGACGAGGAGGGAGGCACGAGGAAGGAGGGACGAGGAGGAGGAGGAATAATAGTAATAATACACCTAACACGGACAGCTTATAATACGAAGAACAATAATACTATTACTAATTCTAAGAATAATGACACAGGAGGAAGACCCCAATCAGGGCTATAGGGCTAGGGGGATATAGGGCTATTGAGCTATAGGGCTATCGAGTTGGGGCTATAGGGCTATTGGGCTACAGGGCTTAGGGCTATAGGGCTATAGGGCACCCCCGGGCACGCCAGGGTACCCGGGCACCTGGGCACCCAGGCACCCCCGGGCACCCCCCGGGCTCCCGGGCCCCGGGCTCCCCCGGGCACCCGGGCACTCAGGCGTGCAGCGAAAATCGGCGACAAACCTAACCTAACCATATGAATCTGCTGGGACCCCTACAGAGGCAAGCTCTGATTGGGGAACAAGAAGAATAATAGTACTAATCTGAATCATATTAAGAAGAAGAAGAACAAGACGAAGAAAAAGAGGAGGAGGAGAAGGAGGGGGGGGGCGAGGGAGGGAGGAGGGAGGGAAGAGGGAGGCAGGGAGGGAGAGGGAGGGAGGGAGGGGGAGGAGGGCGACTCGCTCCCCGCGTCATGCCGGCGCGCGGAGGGTTGACAAATAAGCGACTACGACGACCACGATCACCACTGCGACGACGGTCGCCAAGAAGATCCCCTCGCTTTCCCCGCGTCCCCGCTGCTCCGCTACGCGTGCAAGCGGGAACGATTGTTCAGCGTGTCGCTCTGCCAGCTCTGGCCCACCACGCTTCGGCGCGACACGCTAATTCAGCAAGTCCCCACTCCCAAGCGTCGACGACCCGAGAGCTCTTTCCCGCCTCTCGCCCCGTGAGACGGACGGCACGCTCTCAGCTCGCAGGGCATGCCGTGCCGCCAGTGCCGCCGCCGCGACACGCTCAGCAAGTCGGCGGCAAGCGAGGGGGGGGAAACGAGAAGGCGAAGGCCTTCGCAGAGGGCGGCGGGACTTCTCAGAAGGCCCTCGCGCCTTCTGAAAAGTCTCTGTGGTGTCTTCGGGGAGGGCTCATGGAAACTCCCAGAAGGCTCGGGGGGACTTCCGAGCCTTCTGAGAAGGCCTCCTCCTTCCCGCTTCCCCCCCTCGCTCGCCGCCGAGCAAGAGCCCTCGATCGCACGAGCATAGCGAGTGGCCCCTCGCGGGCGTGGCCTCCGGGCCGCCGCCTCCGAGGGGGCGTGCGGGGCCCGGAGGCCCAGGCGCGCAGCTCGCGCTTCCGCGCCGCATCCCGGGCGACGATCGGCAAGCCTCCTCCTCCCCCTCCTCCTCCTCATCCTCCTCCTCCTCCTCCTCTGCCTCCTCTTCCTCCTTCCCCCCCTCCTTCTCCTCCCCCTCCTCCTCCTCCTCGAGCAGCAAGCGTTCACGGTGAGGATGAGGATCCTTAGGGCCCACTTAGACGCTCTCGAGGCCGATAGAATAGCACACCAGGAGGGCCCGCGTCGTAGGAGGCCGAAGCCTAAGGCTCCAGCCAAACCGCCAGCCCCCGCTGTCTGTGCAGTGTTTGCATCACAACATACCCTAGACAGTACGGGTAGTAGGTGCAGTAGGTGTCAGAACTCCTCCGCCCAGGCCCGTAAGACTGAATGGCTTCGCACCAGTTGTTATGACCTTGTCAATGTTGATGGCACTTATATGAGACCCCCCCTCGGGATGCAGGTACATGTGGCAGGGGGATATGCTCATTTAACCCATCGTTTAAGGTTCCACACTGGGCTGAAATTGTGGTTTTGTTTTCACTGCGGGGTGTACGCCTCCCGACAGATCGGGAAGTTAGCCGTCGCATGTGACACACCCACCGCCACAGGGCGGGAGTATCTGCGTCGTATTGCAATGGGGGCATGGCCCAAAGCGCTCAGCCAAGCTGAGACCATCCAGAGACTAGGGAAGCAACAGGCACTTCAGTTGGTGCCAGCGGACCTCCATATTCATATCGCTACGCGATCAGGCAGAGTCTCCAGAGTCTCCTCCTCCTCCACCCGTGTTTCGACGCGGGGCAGGCCGTGGCGACGAGACGCTTTTTACCAGCCTCGAACGCATCCCTATCCCTAAGATTGACACGCCCAAAGGCGATGACAATCTTAGGGATTCGCCCTCAAAAATGAGGGAATCCCGAAGATTGGCATCGTGATGAGGAGGTGCCCAGCATAGGGATATGTTCCAGGCTGGTAAGCTTTCGCGAGGCCCAAGAGGGGCGCACAACGCCGGGAGCGCCGCCG